GGGCAAACCCAAATTATATATATATATATATATATATACACACATACACACAGAGTGCGATAGGTAAATTTTCGCCATTTTATATTATTCATTTTGTGCATGCACATTGTTTTTGATTTTGTTGACTGCACAGTATAGTAGGGTCAGTTGGACACTGTCTGTGAGAAAAAGAGCACCATGATGCAATTCCCTATACCAGAAATTTGGAAATGGTATGCTATACTGCTTGGCATTTGTACTGGAAGCTCCAGTATGAACATTTCAGAGGGTTTGGGTGTCAATCTGAAGACAGTGCAGAGGATTCGGAAAGAGTTAAATGAGTCTAATGGTGATTGTGAATGGTATGGCAGCTTGGAAAACTCACACTGATAATTCTGATAAGAAAAGGACTACATCAAGTATCTTGAGGAGGTAAGTGTTGCCCTGAGTCAAGAGGGTGGCTGCTGGAAGACCCTATGTCTGGCAAGAGGACTCTGTACCATGTCACACAATCAGCAGAACCCTGTCATGGCTGTCAGACAATTACTGCAGCCACATCAACCCTTACATCTAGCCAACTAACTCGCCAGACTGCCACCCTCTTGATTATTAATTGTGGGGTGTAGTTAAGTTAGAGATCAAGAAAACTCATTGTATCATGAAAGATGAACTGGAGGCAAGAATTATAGCAGCATTCACCAACAAGGAGACCATCTGGAAGAGTTGCAGGAGATTTTGAAGTCATCTGGAGGATGTGGTTGAAGCCAATGGTGATTTTATTGAATAAATTTGCTCTTTAGCATTTCAAGATATTTTTGTGTAATTTTGATAAATATATCTGTTAAAATGAGATGTCAATGTTATTTTCATTTTTGAGTAATTTAGACAAAAAAATTATCCATCGCACACTGTATATGTGATATATCATCTTAAATTATCTTGTAATATATATATATATATATATATATATATTTTTTTTTTTTTTTAAAGAAATAATGAATTTTTAAAAATTTATTAATTCAACAGATTTTATCACTTTTAACATTATTTCAATGAATACTCATATTTGTGTAGATGCTCTGTATATTTATTTATTTTTGTCTACTGGACTGAATATTTGAGAAAATTTATTAAAGTTAAATAGGGCATTTTTTTTCTGTAATAAGATTTCTCAAATATTCAGGCTAGTAGACAAAAATAAATAAATATACAGTTTAATAAATAAACTGAGCGTCTATTCAAATATTCATATCCACTAAAATAACATTTAAAATGATAATATATCTATCTATCTATCTATATCTATCTATCTATCTATCTATATATATATATATATATATATATTATTTTTACAAGTAAAAGTTTTGTCACTCAGCTAATTGATGTTACCTTCATCATCCCAACTCCAGAGTTTTGTAGATGAATCCTTTGGGAATTACTATGTCCACTTGCCAGAGGGTATCAGCAAATGACTGCTTATACTTCTTGATTTTTCTTTTTTATATGCACTTTTCATTGGTACAATTTTTTGTATGTGTGCTCATGCACATGTGCCTATGTGTCTGTTTGCATATATGTGCATACGTATATCTATGATAATGTAAAAATTAACAAGAAAATGATATTCCATTGTTATAATTGTTATAGTTGCTTTGAGTGAGCAAACTGTAAAAACAGGCTTTCTCATTTCCCACTTGTGAGACTCGTTGCTAATTCTTGCCTCATGAATAAATCTGTTGTTATGCATGAAGAAACAAAGAAACTGAAAAAGTCTCATGGTGCCTTATAAAAATAGGAAGTATTGACTTTTGAGGTCAGAAAATATTTAAAGAAATACATTAACATATTTTAATGAGAATGTCTTCAAGGAGAATGCTAATATATTGGATATTTTTTTATAGAACAACCAATTTAATCAAAATCCATTTGCCAAACTATAATGTTCAATCTCCATATTTTAAAATCATTTCACCCCATGTGAGGCAGTAAAGCCACTAAGACTCAGAGAGTTACTGAGTTTGAAAGAATTAGAAAATGGAAACATTATTGAGGAGTGAGAACAATAGAAGAGTGATTAGGAAGATAGTAGATAATTTTTGGAGATCAATGTTGGCTGGAAAGCATGGAACCAGAAGGGAGTTCCACAAGTGAGAAGTGTAAGAAAAGAAATTGTTAGCATAGAACTTATGATTACATCTAGTCAATTCAACTCTAAATTGATCAGATCTTGTTGTTAATCGAGTACTGTGCTCAAATTTGTAAAATCTAGGTACCATGGCAAAGAGCTTGTCTGAACAATTACCATGGGAATATTTATAGAAAAGGCACAGGGAAGCAACTTTATGGCAGTGGGGAAGGTGATCGAAGCCAAGATGCCAGATCAGGACCAATAATATTACTGATTCTTATTTTATCAAGAATCTTTAAAAATACAGCAGAAGCACCAGACCATGAGTGGCAGCAATATTCAAAGCATGGGCAATTGGTAGACTTATAGATATGTAAGATATGAGATGGAGAAAAAAATTGCTAATACAACATAATGAACCAACTTTCTTAGCAGTAGACCTGGCATTATTAATTTATGAAGAAACCTAATTAAAGCATTTTGCTTGCATTTATTTGAGATGATTGCAACTGATCAGAAACCTCAAAGTAGTAAATTTTAATTAAAATGTTCCGGGGAAAGACTTTCTGGCTTATTTCTAGTATTTTTATAACAAAAATAGTTGTATGTTCAAGCATGTAATTTAGAGTTTGTGATGGAAGTGTACCTGTCATAATTGATTATTTTGTATTTTAAAAAATCACTTTTGTTTATACATTTTTGGAAATTAGCCAAGCTATATTTAAACTTTTTACATAATATGATTTCATTTATTTTTAAAAATAAATTTCCTATCAGAAATGATAGAGGCCATCTTCTAAAAATGACCCTTTCAGAAAGCTTATATTTTTTTTATTTTTACATCTAATGTTATTGGATAACAAAAATTGACACTACTTAAATAGACTGGTCCACTTATAAAAAAATAAGTTTCTTGAAAAATAATTCTTGTAGCTTAACATTCTTTAGACCTTTCTTAGTCTGCAATGCTTGTCAGAACAAAAAAAATATTTTATCATTTTAGGAGGGGGTCCTGTTCATAATATCGACATAGTGTACAATCAATACCTGATTTTTGAAACTGTTAAATTTCAACAAATCTTTGTTTACAAATATCAAGTTTGGAGGAATACAATTTATTCAGTTTTATTATAAAGGAAATAAGGAACACAATCAAACATATAGTACATCAAGATATAGGTATACATCACAGGTTTACATCCTTACTTATCAACATAATCACCATCGCTTTTAATGGCAGTGTAAGAGGGCATGTATCCCAGCTTTGTAAAACTGAGCTGGCTGCTGATGTAGCTAATTCATTAAAGCAGTTTTCACTTCTTCATCACCACCATAATGTTTGCCCTTCATTGGACCAAAGAAATAGAAGTCTGAAAGTGCTAAGTCAGGGGATGATTAAGAAGTGAAAACTGCCATAAGGAATTGGCAACATCGGCAGCCAGCTGAGTTTTATGAAGCTTGGATACATTGTCCTCATTTGTAGGCAGAAAACTGACATTAAAAAAGGTGGTGACTATGTTGAACAATAGGAACGTGAACCTGTGATGTATAGCTATATTTTGATGTACAATATGTTTGATTGTGTTCCTTATTTCTTATATAATAAAATATTGATATTTTATCAATTTAGAAGGAGGGCTCTTGTTCATAATATTAATACAGTATAAAATCGATCACAGATTTCTTAAACTGTTAAATTCCGATAACTCTTTGTTTACAAATGTCAAGTTTGGAGGTCAGGGGTACCCCACTTCTAAAATGATAAAAAAATCAATATTTTTGTAGTCTAACAAATGCCATAGCTTAAGAAATATCTAAAGTATGTTAAGCTACAAAAATTATTTCCCAAAACATTTTTCCCTATTTTTTACAAGTGGGCTAGTTTATTTAAGTAATACCCCCAAATTTTTCAATTTTTATTGATTTAAGGCAAACCTTTTAGAACTGCCAGTTAGTTTTGTTTCTACTAGAAAGGTTAGTTTTCATGGATTCTTTAGCTTACAGTCAAATCATGTTGGAAACATTGCTTCTTGTTCAATCACTTTAATTAAGCAGTGTTAAGCCTAGTCAGTCTCAAGTGGGGAACCATTTGAGAACACCAGGTACTGTAAGCAACCTCCTACAATCCAAAGTATTTTTCAGCTTTAATGGTAATATTAGCCATTTCTCTATCACTCTTTCCAGTACTGATGAGGAATTCCTTCATAACTTTTTATTTGAAGTAATGTGGAATGTTAACATCTTGATTATACCATAAATAACACACGTAGGGTTGATAAGCCATTAAAAATAAATCAATCAATTAATTGTGGATTATTTAAGCAGATTCTTGTGGCTGAGTTTTACTTTAGATGAACTTACCAGAATTTCTAAATCTCAAGTCAGGACGTTTTTCAATTTTTATTATAGGTTTAGTTTCTGCAGAGCCTACAGCTGATAGGTTACATAAACAGCTCATTTGTTATAATGGAAGACTAATATTGCATGTAAGAAAGGGGGTAATTTCTATACAATACTGATAAAAAGGAAAAGAAATTAAATTAAATTGGTTAGACTATATACCCAAGCACATATTTAAAAAAAAAAAAATTTAAAGATTAAAATTTCAGCATCCCCTCTCCTTTGTATGCATGTGTGGTTACATTAACGTAAACGTCACTTTAGTCCAATGAAATCCAGTAGGATGAAGCACGTCAGTTGAAATGTTTTTTCTACGTTGTCATTGATTTTCCTTATACAATAGTGAAAAAAAAAAAAAATAATAATAATAATAGGTTCAATAGTTATGAGATATTAACTCCAGCTATTATATTGTGGGTGACTCTTTCATCCATTAATTAAGTTATTGTTGATACATTAACTTTGTACTGATAATACATTGCTTACCTTTCAGTGCCTGGCCTTACAAGTGACACAGCGGCAGCAAAGATTGTTGAATTATCCAAGAAATTACGTGAGACTGTTGCTGAAATGGAGACCGAAAAAACCAAGTGTAAGCAGCTGGCCAAAAAATGTGAGGATTTAAAATTACAGGTCTGTTGCAATTTAGTATACATTTTAGTAGCTTGTGAATTTTGGCTGCCAATAAAAATTCTTCTTTTCTGATATACTTATAGTATGCTACTACAATATCTACTAATTATGCCATTATAAAATACCTATAGTCATTATTTGTGTGCTGAATACCCTTGGGAAAGGTATGAATCCATCTCTCCTCTCACCAACTATAGATTAAATAGTAGGACTTGTATGAAAGTAAGTCAAAAAAATTGATTTGTTTTCTATGGCTTATCAACCCTTTGCAGGTTATTTAAAGCCAGAAAATATTTTTAGATTGTAAGAATTTTTTTTAGATGATAGTGGTTTAGTGCTAAAAATCTTACTAATTAACCCATAGCTAGGGGGAGAAGTGGATTGATACCTTTCCCAAGAGTATTTGTGCATAAGTGAATTTCATGAGCCCAACAGAAATTTGAACTTTGCTCTCTGATTAACAATTCTGTGCCATTATCCATTACACCACCCATACATTCAAGGTTACAGCAACTAGTATTCCCAAGTGGTCATCCATCTAGGTACTAACTAGGCTCGATGTTGCTTAACTATGGTGATTCTACAGGAGCTGTTGTTTCAATGTGAGGTGGCTGTAAGCCCTTTATTATATAGGAAATAAGGAACATAATCAAACAAATAAATGAAGATATAGCTATACATCACAGGTTCACATTCCTACTTGTCAAAATAGTCACCATGTCTTTCAATGGCTGTGTTCCATGTACATTAGAGGGCATGTAACCCAGCTTCATAAAACTGTGCTGGCTGCTGATGTAGCCAATTCCTTAAAGCAATTTTCACTTCTTCATCACCACCATGATGTTTGTCCCTCAGTGCCTCATTCATTGGGCCAAAGAGATAGAAGTCTTAAAGTGCTAAGTCAGGTGGTGATGAAGAAGTGAAAATAGAGCTATGAAGGATAGAAAGTTGTGGAGAGACATGATTGTGTTATATTAAGTGTTTGGTAGTGAGAGAAAGTAACAATGAGAATTAAATTTTGAACAACTTTTATAGTTGGTAGGTCGTACAGAGATGTTGAAGGATGTGTGGAATGTCCATTTCAGTGGCTGGTCATCAGGATGTTTGTTGGGTGTAAAGGGCAGCACCAGGGGTTGACCAAATTCTTGTGCTGGCCTTTGCCGAGGTCACAGGATATGATTAGTGCACATTTGGTTGATTGAAGTCACAGTGGTAGGTCATTTTGTTGGTTGGTAGATCTGTTGTGTTGAACCAGGGTGATGTCAGATTGGCGTCATGTTGATGGGTTGAGTGGGTTGCATGCTTGCAGAGTTGGATTTGCTGAGGTGATGGTATTGGTGGCAAGGAAGGCTTGTAACTTGGTGGTGTCAACATTGAGATGCTATCAATTCGGTATTTGCTGATATGACAGCATCATCGACGATGAAGGTGTGTAGGCGGGTAGAGTCACAGTTGAGATGTTTTTGAATTGAAGCTAGATAGCTGAGGTGATTAGTCAAGCCTGGAAGTGGTAATGGTCATTGAGAGATGTAGTCATGTTAAGTGGTGGTGGCAAAAGTCATGGCAGTAGTGGTGGCAGCTGCACCCTACATGATGGCTGGTGACCTGCTGGGTCGCAACTCACTGGTGTTGTTCTCAGAGACCTGCTTTTAAGTGGGTCTGGTAGCCTCTGGGGGCATCTCTCTCACTGGTGGTAACATTCATGATTGTCCACTGCCAGAGCTTGCTTCATAGACTGGATGTGATATATGGAGCCTAATGTGCAGAAAACAAATTTTGTTATTTTAGTCTCTGCCGCCGTGGCATTCATATCAAATCAGCATGCAGAATGAATCAGAAAGAGATCTAATTGTGATGGAGTATAACAATTGTCCACGTCCTGAAGGGACATGGGTCATAAAAGAATTAGGAAGGATAATGTAGAAAAGGAAAATACCTGATGAATCATATAATCATCCATAATATTTCTTGAAGATGAGGTTTTATTTTACAAGCACATTTTTGTATTTCAGTGGATAAATCACTATTTAGAGTTGTAAATAATTTTATCTTTCTTTATTATTAAACTAAATGAATTACTTAGTTTTTGTTTTCCTAAATTGCATCAAAATGTGTTGTCAGATTTCATATTCATTACATGGGTGAAATTTTTTATGCTAATTTTCACCCAATACAAAGCCCAAGAGTCACTTAAGGCAAGGGTCTTCTGTGTGCTGTTGTATGAGCACAAAAAAGGCAGAAAGTGAAGTTAATGAGGTTATGCAGGAAATATAACAATTAACCCTATACTTGAGAAGGTCAAGATTATAGCGATTGGGAGTTTTTTTCTACAAAGCAGTTCTTGGGAAGAAGCTGTTCAATTGGAAATTACTTCTTACTATTGGAATATGAAAGGAATGAGGATGATTCACTTTTGTGGCATGGTGGGTCCCAGTTGTAAAGATCAGGGACGGTGGGACTAAAGAATTTAGCCCGTTAGAAAACATACCATGGAAATAGCAATAGAGTAGGGTCAGGTTTGTGAAGTTTTGTCTGTGGCAAACGGGGGGTTGGAGGGTGAAAAATAATTATATTTTATTGTCTCTGATAAAGAGTATCCACAGTGATCATTAACTGTATCCTGGTAAGTTTTTGCTAAATTATTGAATTTACCAAATGTGGCAGATAGTACCAAGGTCACCCAGATATATTTGTGTTGTTAGTATTGTAACAGTTAGAGATTGGTTCATTTAAATCAGTTTCTCTATCTTTGTTGTTTTTTCACAGTGTTTCAGTTGCTCTACTACACATTCTTTTTTCTTTCTGAGATAATGTGTTGTTACTATTATACATTGATTCCTGAAGTTATGACATAACTTCTTGTATCTGTCCTTCAAGTTCTTCCAAAGTCTTGTTTTGTTATAGTAGACTTGCTCCTTTAACCAATTCCAAAGAAAATAGTCACAGGGTGTTAAGTCAAGACTCCTGGCTGGCCACTGATGTATAAAATAGAGAGTTACTTTTCAATCACCCTGTATATATTTGACTCTCACATTTTCTGAATTTCTGAGGCGACACATTGTTACTATTATACATTGATTTATTTAAATCAGTTTCTTTATCATTTTCCTCATTATCACAATGTTTCAGTTGATCTATCAAGTGGTCTTTTTTTCTGAATTTTTGAGATGATGTATTGTTACTATTATACATTGATTTATTTAGACCAGTTTCTTCACCATTATTGACTTTATCACATTTTGATTGCTACATCTTCTGCCCTTCTTTCTTTCTGAATTTCTGAGATGCAGCGCTGTTACAATTATACATTGATTCATTTGGATCAGTTTACTCAACTTTGTCATTTCATTCTTCATATATTTAACCTGCTATATCCTCGATCATATTTTTGTGTAACTTTGATGTACTTTTATTATTACATATAATTTATTTGTGCTAGCTTCTGCATCTTTGTTGTATTTATCATGATATTGCACATTCTGATTATCTTTCTCACTAAATTTTTGAAACATGGTATTCTTACTATCATATAAGACATACAGAGCCATAATGGCAAACATACTATCAAGTCAGAAACTTGTTTTATATCTTTATTTTTTTTGCTATCGTATAGCAGGAAAAAATGTCTGAGTTTGTAGCATTAATACTTTACAGAAAACTTGATTTTTGGTGAGTTTTCCCTTGTCATTCTGTCTGGTTCGTATGTTGATTCATTCTGATCAATTTCCTCTTCTGTGTTAAATCACAAATTATGTTCAAATTTGTTATTGTTGTGTGTCTTTGATTTTCTGCTTCTTGATTTTGCTTTTGATAAAACCTTTTTGAAGTCAAATTATAAATTGTTGCAATTGTTGTAAATTAGTTAATTAGGCGTTTGATCAGAATTATATTTCAACTTTTTTTTGCTCTTCTAAAAAGCAAAATTAATTCTAAATTACCTATTTGGATGCTAGCTATTTTGAGTGGAGCATCCATTTTCATGACTTTTTTTTTTAATAATTAAGTCTGTTAAAAAATTTTAAAAGAAAGGTAATGATATGTGGCAGAAAGTGTTGGGAGATTGCTTATGAGTGAAAAGATGTAAAATAAATATGAAAAAGTTGTTATAAAAATACTTTTTATTGAATATTATAGAATGTGAGACTGAAATTGTGGATAATGTTAAAAAAAAATTCCTTATTTTTCTTGATCACCTGATATATTGCTACTTTTTTTATTAACATATGCTAATTGTATTAGGAGGTGTTATTGTAACAGATATTGGTGCAGAGTGTGAAATTGGCAAGCTGGGTTCAAATTCAAGGGTAGTCAGTTGTGTTCACTTTCATGCAAATGTCCTTAGTAAAAGTGTAAGCCCATTGCTTCTCATCAAACCTCTATCTGTGGTTTAAATAGCAGGGTGGACTGGTCTTTCTTGCCTTGAAGTAGTAACTATTCTAGGAGAAGTCAACTCAGAAAGCAGTCAGCCTGAAGAAGGACGGGCTCTGTCAGGCTATCTTGTTCTAGACACACTCATAGCTATACCCGCAGTACATATGGTAATCCTGTGGCCCTCATGAGTTATTGAAATCAGGATTAAAATTAATCATAATATTTTTTTGAATTTTATAAATGAATCATTGTCAGTTAATTATTAATTTTTGCAATTATTTTAATACAAAACGAAGAATTAATAATAAATAGGTTTGTTGTTGTTTTCTGTAAATGTGTAAGATCAACAATTTGTCTTTTACTGAGTGGTTATAGCAGCAACTCAATTGGTATTATTTAGTTAATATTTTTAGTTCTACAAACCAATTAATGCCATATCCAATTCTCAGTGTTCTTCTTGTATGTATCATGTCCATTCAGGATGTGAGGATCATGGCTCTCTACAACTTCCTTTTTTTATGTTGTGCTTAGTAACTTTTGACTCATTACATTCTCTGCTTGTCTCTGTTCTGGCATCCATTCACAAGTTTCTTAGGTAGGTTATTTATCTTTTCTCTCTGCCTCTTTTTGCTTTCAATATGCCCTGTCAGTTTTAAATTCTCTAGTAATTTCAACTCTTTTTCTGATTGTAAATATCAGTTTCCTTGTAGTTCCTATTTTTCTGAAAACTTCTCCATTGCTCGCATATTCTGTCTATGGTATTCTTAACATTTGTTGGTAGAAGCACAAGTCTGTCACTTCAAGCCTCTTCTTCATCCAAGAGATTGTTCAGTATTCACTGCCATATAGGAGATTAGATATTACAGAAAACTGTTTAATTTGTTTTGAATCATATTTTCCTATTTTTTAATACATTGTTTAGTTTCTTTCACTGTTCCTATGTACTACTACTGTTTATGATAATAGTCTTTCATTGAAACAAAATCTGTCATTTGATAATGCTATCATGAGAAAAAAAGGTACTTGAATATCATTATCAAAATGAGGCTAAAAAATTATTACACTTGTAAATAAAGATCTAGTGTTAATATACACTTAAAAAAGAGGTGACTGAAATTCATATGTGAATGACTTTTCCTGATAAATGTTTCATGATTTTAGAAATTATCTTGGATTAAACTACTTTTCTTTTCTTTTGTAGATTGCCAATCCAAAAGAATGTCATTCAGAACGACCAATAGAACAGAATACAAACAGTGAGGAACAAAAGGTTTGACTAAAAACTGAAACTAAATAAAAAATAAATTATTCCTGATCACTGATAATCCATTTCTACAATAAAATCATTAGCAATACATTTACATTATGCATATAATTGTGCCATTCTGTCAGTAAGGCTTACATTAATTTCTGACCACTGACAATCCCTTTCCATTTGATTTTCAGTGCATTTCTACAATAAAATTGTTGGTTCCAATCATAGGTAGGAATGACTACAAAACACTTCCCCTCCCCAATTTATAGGCAGAAGTGCACAAATGCATGCTGGGATTTCTTTCTTAGCCAATAAAATAGGCCAGTTCTCAGTTTTATATGACTCAGTCCTGGTCTGACTTTCCTTGAAGTCAGAATGCTATGTTCGTTTATCCAAATTTGCTCTTGTGTGTCAACCTCAATTCTTAGTTTGTGAACTTTTTGCCATATTATTGTTATTTTGCCTTATTACTGTTAATTTGCCTTGCATATATCGTTTGCTTGCTTTATATTATTTTTTTTTGTCCTGTTCTTTTTGTCTTGTTTTTTATTGCAAACTTTGTCAATTCTGTTTGTTGGGGAGTCCTACCATTTATTTACATTTAACCATGTCCTCTCATTCTACAAAAATCATTATGAATACATTTGCATTATACAAATAATAATCCCATTTTGTCAATAATAATTTATTTAGTTATTCATTTGATTTAACCAATAGCTTTCAAGCATGTTTTTCCATCTACCATCAAATGCTACAATACTAACAGTATTTTTACTTCTGTACAAGTCAGAAGAGGACAATTATATAATCTATGATGATATCTGATACACCACTACTTGCATATTTGTTAAAATTATATATATATATATATATATATATATATATATATGGAATAATGATATATAAATTTTTATATATTATTATTCTATCCACTAATGCTATCACAACTACAATTGAAAAGAATTTATCTAAACTCAACATAAAATTTGTTACAACTATGTCAAAATCAATAAAATACTTAATCAATAAAAACAAAACAATAATCTAAAACTTGAAAGAGTAGTTTATTCTATCAATTGTAAAAATTGCCAGAAAGAATATATTGGAGAAACCTCAGGAAGTTTAAATAAAATATATGAACACAAAAGGAATATTTTACAAAACAACACATCAAATGAATTAGTTGCTCACTGTAACGAGAATGATCACAATTTTGACATAAAAATGCTACTCTAATTAAAAAGGAAACAATTCACTAAGACCAAAATGTTTTGAAAGTGCTTTAATCTCTAGTTTATCCACAGTAAATTGGCGTCCAAGTACTTACAATGTTCCACCGTTCTTGACAGATCTTCTGTTATCACAATATGGGATTTTTAATAACAAAGGTGATGGAAGCAAAAGCAAAACGAAAAAGAAACTAAATAAAATCAGTTAGATTGTATACTGAAAATATAAAAAAAAGATTTAATTTAGAATTCCCAGCATTTCTTGTTCATGTGCATGTGTAATCGCACCAACATAAACAAACTTAGTCTGATGAAGTCCTGAAGGATGAAACATATCAGCTAAGTTTTCCTTTTGTTTTTATTCACACATACATAAACATGGACACACACACACATATATATTTAGACTAATTTACTAATATATATACTATATACTAATATATATTACTAATATATATATATATATATATATATATATATATACTAAACCCAACCTAAACAAAATCAATTATGGCATCTCTACAAATATTCTTAAATGTCTATAATTGGTAACAGAAGCCATTGGTTTATACCAATGGCTTTCCATACTTCATACTTCTCCAATTCACTCTCGTGTGGTCATGTGTGACGTCATGAGATGTGGTGCGATTTTCGCTTCTAGCATCTTATATGCATGTGTTTATCGTTGCTTAGAAATCATCTATGTAAACAATGACAGACTATCATTACTGTCTTGTCCGTATATTGCTTAATATGTTGTAATTGACATCTTTGATAATGGCTTATGTAAGCCAAAAGCTTAGATTGTATTAAAAAAAATATGGATCAATATTGTGAATTTCTTTCTTCGTTCAACGATAATGTTATTAAACTTATCAGATGTTACGAAAAAATTTACATAAAATAAATAGACAACACTTGTCTATATTATTTAATGAAACGTGTATGAATATATATACTAATTTACTTTTTGTATGAATGATTCATTGTAATATAAATTAAACTGCACCACATATTTGATTTAAAAGAACTGATCTGACGTGCAATTTTTTGGATAACAACTGAGCCATTACTCTAATCATTGAACTATTTAGTTCATGCCACATTGACTGATAAACTCCTACAACAACAAAAAAAAAATTCTTAAATTGCCATATTAGTAAATAACGCTCTCACTTAAATTTTCAAAAATTCAACCTTAGTGTTGTGACTGCATGCTTCACAAGTTTGTATCTGTTATCAATAACAAATTAAAAAAAAACATATTTTGATTTGGGTTATATTTTTTCGTCTTGGATGCTACCTGAATTTTACCAAAAACAAAATAGTTTCCATGCCTGAGGATGACCAGAGGAACTGTCAAAAGTAGTTGCATATTTAAGGAAGACTTAATACAGTTTATAATTTTAAAAAACAAGGATCATAGCATTCATTGAGTGATTAGTGAGTTAATCTTTAAAATTTTGTTAGCAAAGGGATTCCGTCATTTTATATCATTAACTTTACTAATTTACTTTTTATATGAATGATTCATTGTAATATATATCTGTGTGTGTATGTATGTATATATATATATATATATATATATATATATATATATATATATATATACACACACCACACTCATTTGTATTTTATGGCTCAGTAGATGCCTCTATGAATACATTGTGCATGTAAGAAAGATGATTTGTGATAAAGTTAATTTCCAATATAAGCAAAAGTGATCATTGGCTCATGTCTTTGGAACATATACTTTTGATAATGAGTCCAGTCTTGCTGTTGTCATGTTTAGATATCATAATGATTTGTGTGTCTACGAATCTTTTGAACTTATATTCAAAAGCTATTATCATAATAGCAAGCATTTTATTCTTTTAATTCCAGAGTGCTGAAGAAGTCAAAGGTTTGCAAGAGAAATTGAAGCAAGCAGAATCCAAGATGGCTGACTGGAGGAATCAGTGCCAGATTCTAAAACAAGAACTAAAATTAGCCAATAGGGTAGGCAGACATTTTTCTTTCTTGGTCATTGATTTCTTAATTTTGAGTCACGTGAACCATGAGTAACTTGAACAATACCTGTAGTAGAATAAAAATAAATAAGCAGTCGATAATAACAATAACTATTGAATTAAAAGCAACAATGTAATTTAATTGTGCACTCAGAAATATCCCACCCTTTTAATAGCATTAATGTTGCTGCGAGGTCATGATAGTAAGGGAGGAAATGAAGAGCACCACATCTATAGCAAGTTCTAATTAAGCTTAACCTAGACAGGTAACCAGGTCACAATAGGAAGGAAAAATATTTGTAACAATGATATACAAAAATTGAGGGGCTTATAGCCACATCATGTATAATCACAGAAGGTAAGGAACATTGAACCTGGTCAGTACCTAAATGGGTGACTGCTTGGGGATAACAGGTGCTGTAAATTTGAATGTGGGAGTGATGTAATGGATAATGGCTTGGAATTGTTAATATTGTTAATCAGAAGGCTGAGTTTCAATTCCACTTGGGTTCGTTAAATACCGTTGGGAAAGATATGAATGGACCTCTGCTCCCCACCAACTATAGGTTAATTAGTAAGACTTGTATTACTAAACCATTATTATCTAATTATTATATATTATTATTATTTACAGGTGCTGTAAATTTGGATATGGGGGTGATGTAATGGATAATGGCTCAGAACTGTTAATATTGTTAATTAGAGAGCTGAGTTTCAATTCCACTTGGAATGTTCACTTATGTGAAATACCATTGGGAAAGGTATGAATGGACCTCTTCTCTCTGCTAGATATAGCTTAATTAGTAAGACTTGTATGACTAAACCATTATTATCTAAAAAAAAATTCTTACAATCTAAAAATATTTTCTGGCTTTAAATAACCTGAAAAAGGTAGATAAACTGTGAAAAATGAATGAATCAATCAAATACGCATTAGCTACATGGGCATATCTTTTAGATTTATTTGCATTCTCTGGAATATAAATGTATAGAAAATACCATGGCCACAAAATGAATGATCAGTTTATATATTGATTGTAATATAGAATTGATCCCTCACTTTGTATCCACATTATAATTTCTTGTTTATCGAATTCTGATTAAGTATGAATCTGCCTATTCTCCCCCACATATGGGTTAATTAGTGAGACATGTATCATTAAACCATTATTATTTCCAAATAAAATTCTTACAATCTAAAAATATTTTCTAGCATTAAATAACCTGTAAAGGGTTGATAAGTCATAGAAAACAAATCAATCAATCATTGTTTCCTGACCACAATCCTATCTAATTAAAACTGATCAGGTTTAGAGGGTAGAGTAATGGATTTGAGATGAAAGAAATGAATGGTTTTGTAGAAAGAAAAAAAATTTTGTGGTTGAAAAGTGGGTAAAATCACCTTTTTATTTGTTGTCAGGTGCAGAACTTATATCTACTGGCTGTAAATATCTACCAGATTGTCCTTCTATTCAATAAAGTGCTTCTCAGATGCTTTCATTCTCAGTAACCCCTTGTGTCTTAGCATCTTTATCATGTTGTTTGGGGTGAAAGGATTTAAAAAAACAAATTGTATGAGGACGTTTTTTTACAGCCAAACATCAAAATTGATTTCAACCAAACATTACAGAATTAATATCAAAACATTGCTCATTCCTCTCAAGTTTCAGAAATGTTATTGGTAATATTTATGCCATGAAATCTTGCAGTCTTCTTTTTTTATGTGCTGTGTTCCTTCAGGACATAGATGATCATGGCTATTTTGCTATCTCTCCTAAAACTTGCTTCGCCATTCATTTACTTAAGTTTGCTTGGTAGGTTATAAGTTGCTTCCCTCTGTCTCTCTTGCTTTCTGTCTGTCCTGTGAGTATTAAATTTTCCAAGCCCTTTTTCCTTATTATGCAACCTAGAAATTCTTCATGCCATATGCCTCCAGGATGTTGACAATCATGGCTCTCCACAACTTCCTGTCTGTTGTAGCTCTTTTTGTCATCTCCATCAAACTTTGCTACACCATCCATTTACTCAAGCTGGCTAGGTAGGTTATATATTCTTTTCGTCTCTCCCTCTTGCTGTTAATCTCTTCTGTGAGTATCAATTTAGATTTGAAAATCAAAACAATTCTTGTTTTGTACAAGTGGGACATTATGAGTAATGTGGATTTTATAAGAATGTGAAAACTCTACGAAGCATTTTATTAACTGTCAGTCAGAGTATAAGTTAGCATCATTTATTACTAAAATCTATTTATTTATTTATATTTTTGGAGGCTATATTCTTATTTGAAAAAGAACATGAATTGAGACATAAAGATATGAATTTAAATTTTGAAAATGATATTTTTACAAATAACTGATTTTGCCTTTGTCAGATCAAGGCAGCAAGAATGGAAGATTAATTTGACAAGTGATTGATTGTCTATTTTTCTCAGAAAAGCACATGTCCCTGAAATAAATAAGAATGCTTTTTGCTGGGAAAATTATTTTGAACCATTTAGGGCAGTGATTCCCAAACAGTGCAGTTCATTTCATAGGTGCAGTGGAAGAGGATAGGTAAGGCGGAAGAGGATAGCAGGTGCAGCGGAAGAGGATAGCAGGTGAGGCAGAAGAGGATAGCAGGTGAGGCGGAAGAGGATAGCAGGTGAGCCAGAATGATCAAAAGACAATCAAAGATTTAGAAACAGTTTCAAAAAATTCATATGCCAAAAATAAATGATTTCAAAATTTAAAATATTATTATGGATTACTTGTAATTGCATGCATGAGTCTCAGTATAAATAGTTATAAATAATTATTGACTAATTTTATCATTGTGATATTTTTGCATTATATCAAGTATTAAGAAGATAGTAACTAGGGTCCATAAGTTGGAAGAGATGGTTATCAATGATAATGTTCTGACTTTAAATCCATTTTTAAATGTACTGTTTATCATGTAAAATTTGGTGAGGCGAGATGAAATTTACATTAAAAAATGTGTCCCAGAGAAAAAAGTTTGGGAACCACTTATTTAGGGGATAGCTTTTTTGTTTTGTTTTTTGTATTTTGCCAAGGTTTTGAAATGTCTACAAGCATTTGTTATTATCTTGGAACAGAGAACTCTTTGTTCTAAATCTTTCTTTTGGTTCCAAACCTTTTTTTATGTCTCACATCCCTAGAAATATGTCACACATGTTTGCAGCATTTAAAAAAGTAACACCACATTTGAAGATAAAGCATTATAATTTTTAGACCTTATATATTATTGTATGTAAACAAACTTGAGATATAAACTTTTAAGTCAGCAAAAATGCAAGCATAAATTGAACAATTTGAGTTTAATTAAAAAAAATAGTAAACAGTAAAAGGGATAAAAAATTGAACATAAAATTCAATGATTTCTTTACTCTTGCTTCTCATTCTTCTTTCTTACTAAAATCTGCAGAACTGCCTGTGAATTCCTAGATTTTGTCTTGACAAAAGAGAACTGAATCCAGAAATGAATTGTTTAGGATAAAAATAGCATTTTTATTAATTTCAAGAGGTATAAGGTAGCATTAAAGTAGTTGTACCAAACTAGCAGTGATGAACTGTTCTAAATTCACTCATGGCACATTGGCAGCTGGCTGAGTGATGACTTGTCACTCAAGGACACAATTCACTCTGTTGCACCCAATGAAATTTCATCTTGCATCCCTGGGAATACAGACATAAGGTTCAATTCATACCTTTCCTCAAGGGTGTTTGTGCTTAAGTGAATATAACGAATCCAACTGGAATTGGAACTTTGATTAACAATTCTGAGCCATTATCTATTACATCACCTCTACATCCAAGCTTATGGTACCTGGTATTCCCAAGTGGTCATCCATCTAGGTTGTGACCAGGCTTGATGTTGCTTAACTTTGGTAATTGTATGTGAACTGGTGTTTCAACATGTTGTGGTCATAATACCCCTAGGTTGGAATAATGAATAATTAATTTTAAATTAAATTTTAAATTTTGTTTATGTCAAAAAAAAGGTTTGGGAAAATGATAACAAGAATTTCCTGGCTGGGATTTTTGGCACTACTTAAACTGACTGGTCCATTCATAAAAAAGGGAAGACTTTGCTTATATATATATAGATCCTCCTCAATACAAGACATTTGTCAGAATAAAAAAATTGATGTGTGTTAAATTGATCCCTTACCTTTTAAAGAGTTATCTGTACTTTGTTTTTTTTTATTTACAAATGTCATTGATAATGTGTACTATTATGAATTAGGAAAAAGAACAACACTAGTAGGGTACAGTTATTAGTGATGTATCAGTTTTAGTAATGCCAGCTGTGTAGTAGTGCAAACATATGTGAAACATTTCCTAGGGATGTGAGACATAAAGTTGGGAAGAAAAAAAAAATTATAACAAAGGTCTAATTGGCTGTGGGTGAATGTAAAGTGGTTCCAACTTAATAGTATTAGTAAGAGGAATCTAAACAAATGAAATTACAGTGACACTAAAAATGTGTTTCTATTTTGAAATGACAAGTTTCCTAACTTGCTGAAGGTTGATAGACAGATGATGTAATTGTGGTATGTAGAAAAAGTTGGGAGGGTTGATCAGATTTGGAATACAATGGTACATTCTAGAGAGTAAATAATGATATTTCAATAGGTAATTAATCTTACGTCTGGATCCAGTTGCACCAGACCATAATCTTGGAACCTCAGAGATTCCCAATAAATAGAGCTGGATTCTTCACTCACAGAGGCCATCTCTGTCTACCAGAGAAATCATCAGAGCTACTGTAAATATAGCTTGTACTACTTGTAAAAATAGGGAAAAATATTTTCGAAATAATTTTTGTAGATTAACATTCCTTAGACCTTCCTCAAGCAATAAAACTTGTCAGAACTGAAAATATTGAATTTTTAATGATTTAGAAGTGGGAGTCCTGCATTGGACCCTGACTTTTTACAGAGTTATTGGGCCTAGCTGTTCTACATACAAGAACAGACAGTTATTGTTT